AACCAAAACCTTCCGTTGCTAAATCAATTTTTTGTTCATTTTGAACTTCACTTTGTAAAAAGCTCATTAGCCCATCCAATCTTGTTTCTAAAGTTGTAACCTCTGCCGTTTCTGCGATATTTTCCATGGACCCGGAAACATAAGGCCTTAAAAACTGTGAAGATCTATGCCATAGTCGAATCATATCTTCTGGCAAACATGACTCGATAAGAGGATACAATATCGCCGCATACTTGTCAGCAGTTATGCCTAAGGTCTCAAGTGAACGAAGTTGACTTTCAATCATATCATAAAGAGCAGAAATATTACAAGAACTACTAGAAACTCGACTCAAAATTAACTTTAAGAGCTCTCTAATATAAACTTCAATCTGGAGATCCTCTCTGCCAAACCTAGACTGCAAACTCTGGATAATTTTTGAGTAATTGTCGGCTACTGCAGGAAAACTCTCCACTAATCGTCTGGCCTTACTAGACTCTACAGTGGCTTGTCTCAAATAAGCTATCTTATCAGTCAAATCAATTGATGGATCGTCATGCACTACTTTGAACTGTGACCAAAAAGGAAGCCAATCTTTCAAGTCTCCATTAAATTTCTTGAATTCGATTGGAGGTAATTTAAATTTGCGCTTACCTTTTATACTTGATGACTCTGAACTTACTGAACCTGGTCTGTCATCACATTTGTACTTAAGTTCAAAGTACCTTGCACTATATTTATCTTTTGTCTCCATCTCACTGATTAATTCTTCTTCGGAAGCTTCTTCCAACATACTTTCAAGTACCGCACTTTCCACTTCACAAAGCTCATTGTACTTTACTTGTAAAAGTTCCCACTGTACGCTAATATTCTGCCAGGGTCGAATGTCCACCGGTTGAGCTAACAAACTGTCCAAAACAGTAGCAACTTTCGTAAATGCACTACGAAGAACCGTTCTGCGTTTTTTAACTGATTCCATTTTTTCGCTTAAAAAGGTTAACTTTGGCCGAGCCTCACGACAAAAACAAAATTATTCGCCGGAAAAAAGTTTGCACTAAAATAAACGAAAATAACTAACTTTTAAGCACACCCGTATATAAGTCCTGTCACGGTCGCCAAATGTTACGTTTGGAATGTCCTACGATTAATTATCGCAAGAGACTCCTGGTTCGAAAGAATACAAAATTAAATTTCTATTACAAAAATTACTTTCGTATTAAAATACACAAATGTGACTTTAAAAGTTTTATTCAGTTTCCTTCGGTTCGGTGGTATAAATTCGACTAAAAACTAACTCTAAACAAATTGAATATATTCTTATACTATATGAAATTCAATACCCTACATTCTCAGACGAAAGTCATTAAAATTAATTGCTTTCACAAGCCCTTAGCCGGAGAGACGATACGCTGATTACAAAAGGGGATTTTTAAAATAAACATATTACTTAAGTATTAACTCGACACATAGTATCATGACTATGACCACAGATGACATTGATCTTTTAGAGCAGTGACAGTTTGAAGCATTTTGTTCATCGAGCAAAAAGACAATAGAGGGAATGTAAAGGTAGTGGGGGCAAACATATTGTTAGACAGGAAGTGCGATCTTTAGAGGCCACATTAAACAAGGAAAGAGAGTCTCTCTCCTTGTTTGACATCAAATTTAGTTGGGTTATGTTATTGTTTGTCTTAAATGTCACATGAAATCCTATTTATATTGAAGTTTTTTAACAATTGTGTCGCATTTTAGACTCTTATCATTAATAATTAATAAAAAATTTTCTCGTCTAAGACACATTCTGAAAAATATTATATAGCTACTGTTGATAAGTGTCGGAAAATTTAAATTTGGCGCATTCGCATTTCCGGATATGTCCGCCATCAGAGGCCACTTTTTTGGTCTCCTTTTCATAAGGATTAGATTCCCTCTTTTGTCTTATTGCTCGATGATTTTGTTCTTAGTCGATGTCAAGTATTCAATCACTGTCAAAGTAATTGTTTTGCTCGCAATTTTAAAGTTGGTATGAAAAAAACTATTAACAATAAAATTGTGGTGTTGATAGTAACCGATAGTTACGTATTTAAGGTAAGTCTAAACCATGTTATTTTCTTATGCATTAGTTTCAGAAACATTTTTAAGTCGTTTAATTGAAAAAATTGCGATGCGGGTGCACTGAGACATTTCATATGGTGATACAGTGGGACATTTTATAAGTTGACTCATTGTTCCCTTATAAAATTATGTTATTTTCCTTTTGGTAAAAAAAATAACTAAACTAGTCATTGTTTATTTGCAGTATGGTGCGTCCAAGAAAACTGCAATAACCGTTGGTCGGTTCACGGACGAACAAATGAGGGTGGCGATACTTTTAGTTAAAAATGGTATGAAAATACGCTGTGCTGCTAGGGAACCAACTTAAGCTCCTAAACTGTAGGCAGATATGAAAAAAATACAAAGAAGACCCTACCTGTAGGATGAGTCCTAACTACAATGTTAAACAAATTTTTTCGTCACAAGAAGTTCTTGTTCAATACATTGTGACTTGCTCAAAGATGTTTTATGGGCTAACTGTAACCAACTGTCGCAAGTTAACTTATGATTTAGCCAAAGCTAATAATATTAACCTAACGGACAATTGGGAACAGTCAGTCCAAGCATCAATAGATTGGTACAAAGAATTTCGAAAACGGCATCCAAATTTGAGCCTACAAACCCCTGAAGGTTGTAATTTAGCTAGAGCAGCAGTATATTTAATCTTGCTAAGGTAAAATTATTTTTTGAAAAACTAGAAAATGTTTTATAAGGCACGAAAATTTCTCAAATGGTCTGAGAATTTATAACCTGGATAAAACTGGGACTTTGACAGTCGCAAACAGTTCAGCTATAAGATTCTAGCCCGAAAGGGCGTCAGGCAAGTTTTGAGAATTCAGTGTGGCGAACGAGGAACATTAGTTACAACCACTGTGGTAGTGCAGTGCCATCTGTGATGGTAATTCCGAGGGTGCATTTTAAAAGTCATATGTTCTTAGGAGCTCCTCCAGGCACCTTAGGACTGGCTACGAAAGCCGGCTGGATGAACACACAGTGCTTTATATAAGTATTAAAGCATTTTATCAAACACACTTTAAGTTCAAAAGAAAACCATTCGCTCTTAATAATGGACAATCATGACAGTCACATCTCAATAGAACGAATTAATTTGTGCAAAGAGAATGGTGTTACAATCCTGACAATTCGTTCTCATTGTACACACAAATTACAGCCGCTTGATGTAGGTCTTCTAAAACCTTTTCATATCTTTTACAATGACGCCTTACGTTCGTGGCATAAAGCTAATCCAGCAACACCAGTAACTACATATCACGTGGCATCATCTGTAGGAGTTGCCTATCCGCGAGCAATGACCCCTGTAAACATATAGCTGCAGCTTTCAATAAAACAGACATTTTTCCATTTGATCAGGCATGTCTTTAACGAAGGAGATTTTCTGGCGAGTCATGTGACGTATAGACCTCCCAGAGAATCGTTGGAAGAATTATCTTCTACTTCTACTAGGGAAATTCATCTTCATCAACTTGACGAACAGAGGAAAAAGGCACCAGAAAAAGATATGACATTACAATTTGTGAGTCCTGTGGAAATACGAGGATATCCAAAGAAAACCAACGTACCAGCAATACGCAAAACAAGAAGACAGGGAAAGACAGTAGTCGTTACAGATACACCAAAGAAAGACAAGATATAAAAAATTAGAATAAAGAACACGGTGATTGAAACTGTTATGATAAATATATTTTCAAAGGTTAATGATTCCAAAGAGGAAAAAATGATAGGATCTGATGTGTTCATATGTATTACCAATTAACCTAGTCATCTCTATTCGCCATACTTTAGTAAATAAAAATATTTTGGAAAAAAAAAATATGAAGACCTAAATTTTTTCGTCTCAGTGTACCCACATTTCCCCTACTTTTTTAACTTTATTGACCCGAAATTTTACTTCGGGATGTGGGAGCTATATTTCATTATACTATCACATTACTATCACAACAACCTACAATTAAGCACAATGAGTGAGTAACGCATGTCTGTCTATGTCTGCAGAAAATTTTAAAACTTGTCCAATGCCATTTTATATTTGTTCGGATTAGAAACAAAAAATCAACAGTATTATTATCGGGATTATAAACCAAATAGTCAAGATTGTTACGAACACAATGTATAGCTATTTGCACACATTATTTACTCAAAACAAGCCTTTGATATTCGAAAAATATTTACAGTGAAGTTGGAGAATAAAAAATCATAGATAATCTGTATTAAACAAATTTTGGTCTCAAATAACAATTTTACTCAAAGAATTTGTCAAATTTAAATGAATAAAATAAATTTAAAAATTTCATTAAATTATCATAGTAAAATTTCTTCTTTGTATATTAGGCATCGAGCAAAAAGACAATAGAGGAAATGTAAAGGTAGTGGGGGCAAACATATTGTTAGACAGGAAGTGCGATCTTTAGAGGCCACTTTAAACAAGGATAGAGAGTCTCTCTCCTTGTTTGACATCAAATTTAGTTGGGTTATGTTATTGTTTGTCCCAAATGTCACATGAAATCTTATTTATATTTAAGTTTTTTAACAATTGTGTCGCATTTTAGACTCTTATCATTAATAATTAATTAAAACTTTCTCGTCTAAGACACATTCTGAAAAATATTATATAGCTACTGTTGATAAGTGTCGCAAAATTTAAATTTCGCGCATTCGCATTTCCGGATATGTCCGCCATCAGAGGCCACTTTTTTGGTCTTCTTTTCATAAGGATTAGATGCCCTCTTTTGTCTTATTGCTCGATGATATTAGGAAACCTGTTTATAATGGGAAACCCTTAAAAAAGATTCTATTTTTTGTTCTCCTTTGTAGACTTTAACTAATTTCTTATACAGTTATATTTCTTATCATTTGCCAATGTCATTAAAGGTTATTTAACTGATTACATAGCAGAAAAGAAGAATTCAATGGTCAAAGTTCATTCATATCTCTGTAGGTTAGTGATCAACAACATGGAAAATAAATTAAAATGCAAAATAGGGCCTTCAATTTTAAACGCAGATCTATCCCAATTATATGTAGAATCACAAAAATTATTAGATAGCGGTGCTGACTATTTACATTTAGATGTTATGGACGGCAACTTTGTTCCTAACCTAACTTTTGGACACCCAGTAGTAAAATGTTTAAGGAAAAAAATACCAAATGCCTTCTTTGAAACACATATGATGGTTGCGAACCCAGAAAAGGTATTACCCGTCTGCCTTCATGTTCATTATTTTATCTTTCATATGGTCGAACCTAAGTAGGTTTTCCTGATTGTTTTGTATTTAGTTTTTTGTTAAATCAATCTAAAACGAAGTTATTCAACTGCAACGCATTTGCTTACTGTATTAGTAGTATACTGTATGAAAAAGCATTTAATTAAATGCTTTATTGCATTAAAATTGAGGTCCTAAATATGACTTTCTGTTTGACAGAAAAGCCCAATTATTAGAAAGGAGAATCAGAGTATAGAAATTAAAGAAATTGCCCTTAATCTTACACAATTTCATATTATTAATGCTTTTCAAGATACAGAAAAGCTGTACATTAAGCAGGTGCAAATAGCTATTAAAATCAATAGGGAATGTACAGAAAGCAACCATAAAGTGGTATACTGATAAATTTAAAAAGCCTTCAAAACATGATAAATATTGTGGCATGAAAGTAATGATTTGTTTAGTAGAGCTAAGTACACAACAGTGCAAAAGAATTTAGATAAATCTTATATTGTACTAATAGTATAGCATTAAGGCATCTGTTTATTATAGCAGCTTATATTTATTAAAAGCCTACATATAAAAATATAGTACTAACTTTTATTTGAACAATTACAAATGAAAAAGGAGATAGAGCTATTAAATGTAAAGTAAAATCAAGAAGATACAAATTCTTAGACTACAACTAGGTTGTAAATAACCGTAATTAGTACAAAAATGATGAGTATTGAAGATGATGATTTAAATTATATATTCTGAATCAGAGATTGCAGTGGTATTACTTACTTATTTACATTTTTTTTTGCAGTGGATTGAACCTATGGCAGAAGCCAATGTTAACTTATACACATTTCACATAGAACCTGTAATAAATGATGTTATAAAAGTATGTAGGAAAGTAAAAGAAGCAGGCATGAAAGTTGGTTTAGCGTTAAAACCAGGCACAGGAATTGAAGATGTTAGGCAATACATAGACCATGCGGATATCATTTTGGTAATGACTGTGGAACCTGGTTTTGGTGGCCAAAGGTTCATGAGTGATATGATGCCCAAAGTGCAATGGTTGAGGCATAATTATCCACTTTTAGATATTGAAGTAGATGGAGGAGTTGGACTGAGTACAATAACTGCTTGTGCAGAGGTAGGGTATTTGTTTATTCCACATATTTACATTAATTAAAATTTTCATGCATAAACTGCCATACTTTTTACCTCCAGTTACTCAATGATTGTAATCTTAGTTTTCTTATGAAATGTTTAATACTTAGTTCATCATGCAACAGTTCCAATTATTTATTTGTTATATTTTCCTTGTCCTTGATACTAGTTCTTTCCACAGATTTCTAGTAAGGTTTTTCTCATATTTCACTAGATTTTCAGTGCCTTTGTTTTATTGGATTAAATATAGCCCAATTTTTGTTTTTCTACATGAAAACTTTATACTTTCTATAATCTTTACTCCTTTTTTTTATTTTAACATATAATCCACATCAACCACGCAGGGTTATTAGTGGAGTAACATACACAAGAATTAATTTTATTTACATTAAATAGATGTATATAAATGTAAATCTTTTAAACAATTTAATACATGGTCAGTGTTTATGGTTAAAGTGGTTTTGATGTCATTTGAGATTCCATCTTTTCTTCTTGTTTCTTAGTGGTACTGGCAATCAATCAGAATATGCTTTACTGTCAATAGGAGAGAACAGTTTCTGTAGGTTGGATAATATTCTTTGTTGATTAAGAATTTATGGGTCAGTGCAGTGTGTCCAATTCTTAGTAGGTTAATTATTTCTTGGTCCCTTCTAGTGGATGGATTATTCAAGATGGTCTTCACAAGGGGATAAATCTCATATAGTTTGGTTCCTGAATCTTTCCATTAGTCTTGCCATATGTTCATACAGTGGTCTTTAATTAGGTTTTTGAGATCGGAGTATGGGTAATTTCTTGATTTGATTGTGTATTGTGAGTTTATTCGACTTGTGTTTACTAGGCTCTCCACTTTCTCATTTCCAGCGATTTCTACATGCGACGGTACCCAGATAAATGCTACTTCTTTTCGATTTGATTGAATTATATGTATCTCATTTTTTATAGCCCGAAATATTGAATTTGTATTGTATATTTGTTTTACACCTAATAGAGCATTTAACGAGTCAGAGATGATGACACATTTATTATCATTACAAGCTTTTGAAGAAGATTAAGGCTTCCAAAATGGCTGTGGTCTCGCCTGTGAGGATGCAGCAGCATGTCCGTCATGAGCTTTAGAGGCATCACTGAAAATTTGGAGATAATTAGGATGAGATATCACATCGGAGTACAAGTGTTTAATGAAAATCGGATGTGTAGTTGATTTGGGATATTTTGTGAGGGTTAAGTGAATGGTAAGTGGTTGGATTGTCCATGGAGGAAAATTTACGCTGATTTGTAGAGATTGATTTAGCTTATCCATGTCAAAGTTAGAAGATTTTATTCATTCTATAAGGGCAGTACTATTTTTAGTTAGTTTTGTAGAACAATTACTGGGATGGCAAATTTGGGAGAATACTAGATGTTGTTTCTGTGCTGATATTTTCCCTATATAGTTTAGAGATAGTTGTTGGTGTCTAATATATAGAGGTGGTTCTCTCGCTAAAACTTGTAAGCTACTAATAGGACTAATCTTTACTTCTGTTGAGGCTAAGTTTAAGGCTATTTAAATAGAGGAAGGTGTTATGGAAATATTAAGGCAAATTTTGAATTTAGTGCTTTACAATGCATTGACCACATCTACTCTGTTATATAAATGTAAAAACTAGATAAGATAAGCTAGGTGTTTATAGTTTAATAATAATAGCTGTCATCAAGAGTTATTGTTAAATAACGGAAATGTTATAATTAACAAAACATGCATTGTATAATATTAATCACGTTGTATAATGTCTAATTAACTGCATTTTTTTTTCAGGCAGGTGCAAATATGATAGTATCAGGTACAGCAATAATTGAGTCAATCGACCAAGCGGCAGTGATCGCTAGTTTACGTGAAACAGTGGAAAGCTCAATCCACAAATGCAACGTTTAAGTCTGTGAAAAAAAAATGTGATTCATGTTAAGTTTAATCTTTAAACTGTATTGTTGAACAAGCATTCCCTTTACAAAAAAATTGAACAGTTTCAGAAAGATGGTCTAAAACTATAAAAAGTACTTTGATATGTCCAAATTTTTATTATATATGTAAATTGATGAGGTGTGGGTGCTATGTATACTTCATGTATACAGTGTGTCCCAACAATTGTTATACAAATGGAGAAAAAGCTTCTCTTACGTGTCACAAAAAATTATTCTTTATAAAATGCTCTACATACCAAGTATAACAAGTTAAAAGATTGGCTCACATATAGGGAAACTAAAAAATAGTAAGTTGAAGAGAAAAATAAAATACAGTGGAACCTCGATTATCCGTCAGGGTACCGGACCAAGGGTATGATGGATAATCGAAGAGACAGTTAACAGAAGATTAAAAAAAATTCATAGTATAACTCTCAAATTTTATTTGTATGTTTTATTTTACAATATAAGAGAGATTTATGTTAGTACAGATAAATCAATTTGATTTAAATTATTCCGAAATCTTTGTTTTATTGTTATTTCACATTTTGCAACGGCTGCATTTCTTAATCGACCTAAAATCATTAAATCTACCTTATTTGCTTCTTCTTGCTGAGAATACCACTTGATGGATTGTTGTATGTGAGATGCAGCTCCTCTAGCTTCTTTATGTAAATCTTTGGGAGTTGTAATAGCATCATCAACATCGCCACCATCAAAGTCGTCTTCTGAATCAGTTTCGTCCGCCTCTGTTGGGATGTCATCGTCTGTCAGCAATCGATAGCTGTTTGCGTCCTCATCACAAACTAACCATTCGTTTATGTCACCTTTAGGCAACGAAAACAAAACAGTTGATTCAGCCATAACTTCATTTAAGGGGAGCATTTTCATCGTAAGTTGATTCAAGCCATAATTTATTCCAGGCTTTTTTCAGCGTTACTTCCGCAACATCAGCCCAAGCATCCACAGCATTGTCGACTGCGTGTTTTAAATTGTATGCTTTCCAGCATTCTAGCAAAGAATATTACTCTTCCATAACTAGGTTTTGAATAATTTTAGGATGAGCAGGCGCATTGTCCAAAATGAGAATCGTCTTTGGTGGAAATTTTTTTGCAAACAAAATTAATTGATGACTAAATTTTTACTTATGTATGGACCCTGACAGTTAACAGAGGTGATGGTTAATAGAGAGACGGGATAATAGAGGTTCCACTGTATATTCAAATTCAGATGGATATAAAATACCTGATGATATTTAAAGTTGCGGCATTTCTAGAGAATAATTATCAAATATTTTAACAAACATGTCAGCAATTACATTATTTATTGAATAAAATAATAAAAAAAAAAATAAATAGTGGTAACCTTTTTTTGACATGGATGTAATAGCTTCACATTCTTTTTACTACCCCATCAAGATATTTAACATTTTAAAATGGTCCCTTCAAATAAAACTTTTTGTTTTAAGTAGCCCTACAAAAAGAAGTATGAAGTAGAAGATCTGGAGCACTTGGAAGCCATAGAAAGTCTATATACTTCTCCATAACCCTACCATTAAAAGTGTGCACTACAAAATATCTGATCCTTGGCCCTATCCACTAACATATTAATATTAAAAACCCATAATTACTGTTTGGAGTGTGGGTTAATTATTTCATGTCTGACGAACAGTATTTATTGCACAAAATTTCTGTTGAGCAGTCATTCAGACACTTAACACTTTGGATATTGGCTGCTTGGACCACCAAGCAGATATCAAGATATCATCTCCAAACAAATATATAGAAGAATTGCTATAAGTATTGAAGATTTCTTCTACTATATTACTGTATTTGATAAACGAATCCACACAACTTGTGGTATATAAAATGCACCCAAAAACAGATTGCGAACCAAGCTTTAAGCAGGTAAAAGGGTGTTCAGAGTACTTCAATTTTAGATTTTATTGAATTTTTAATGAATATCTTGATGCTCCTACCACTTTACTTGGAATTGGTAATTACAGTTCTACCAGCACAGTAAATATACATATATGGGAAAGATAATATGTATATTTTTTTCAATAATCATGAATATGTGCAAGGACGAAGTATGGACAGCTGTCTTTTTTGAGTATTGTTTAAGAAACTATAAGCAGTTTTACAACTTTTCTCCACCAGTCACTTGCTTATATCCACCCTACTATCCTGTTTAGTAACTAAATTTAATCAATAATATTCTAAAACAAACTGTTTACATATTCGACCAATATCGTTTTTAAATTATAAGAATTTAGACCAACTTTTTTGAACACAGAAACACTTGTTGATACTTGCATTTCCAGTTTTTGTCGTTGATTACTGACATGCTTTTACATTTTTTTTAATTGTGGGTAATTATATACAAATTTTTGTTAATTGTTGACTAGAAAAATATTTTTTATATTAATAATTTGTTGGTTTTCTTGTTGGTAGGAACGGGGTAACTTAAGTTCTTTTGCAGACTAAAAATATATAATAAAGGGATATATACAAGAATTATTTGTTTTCTTTTTCGCCTTTTCTTACGGAATGGTGCTATTAAGAGCTGAAGATCAACAAAAACACAAAGATGAATTTGTCGAAACAATAATTAGGCCTACAGAGAATCAAGCAGGTTGGAAGACCACAAGATGGCATTGCCAGAACCTGACTTATTAACTACAGATTGCTAATGTGTACTGCAGAAATCAGAAATACTTAGAAGTATCAAATTAAAAGGCCAGATAAATCAAGCAAATCAATGATAAAAAAGCTGAATTAATTAATGGTGAGTTGTAAATCAAAAATACAGCTTTTGAAATACATCGCTTGTATATAGATAATTAGTATAGCCCACTAATACAAAGTAATATTCAATAAAAAAACGAATTGTTGTGGGATTATCAAAGTTAATGTATGTATTGACAAAACAGATATGCTTTTGAGCACCAAGGAATCTGTAAAAAATGGTACAAAAAGGTGTTGTTCCATATTATAGCTATGCCTTTCTCAATTGTAGTTTTTATGTGAAAATACATTCTTCTAGAAACATAAACTATACCAAGTGGTTTTAGTAGCAACTGAGCAGGTTTTTAAACATTTTTCACTCAGGTTAATACAGGCATTTTCCATTAACAGTCAAAACATGATTATATTATGTTTAATAAATGATGTGTAAATCTATAAAAGAACAATGTAACATTTTTGTTAGTATAAGATTATGACAAGAAGTGCTGTCTAAGCTCATCCAACCAGCAGTGCCTTGGTAACGTGCTATATCATACACAATAAAACACATTTTTATTTAGAAATGTAAATAATTATAAAACTCTTGATAAAATTACTTTTTACAATACAAAAGTCTAATCAAATCGACTGAGGGGATCTTCAGGTTTCTCTTCCACATTGGTTTCCATATCTTCAATTTCCTTATTCTCGTCCATGTCACTCTTTTGTATATTTACTGGTTTATTTTCAGGATTTAACTTGGGTCTTAAGGCAGCCAAAGTTATTAAAACAGCCTCCTCAGTTCTGATAGTTTTGGATCCCTGTTCTGGAAGGGTGTTCAGGTAATGGTCAAATAGTAATTTTGGATCATCAACATTCAACACTTGATCATTTTCTAGAGCTGCCTCTAGACCCTGAAGACCACCAAACATTACCAATAAGTTTTTATAAGCAGGACAAGAAAAATCGTCAACTGAGGTGCCCTTATCTGATGTTCCAATTGATACATCATACCTAAAAGTCACAATTGTTGTGTCAGAAATATTTAGTATATTAGACCCCTATACTTACCCTTCTTTATATGGACACTGTGAGAATACCTTAGAGAGAGATGTGGCGATTCTTACAGTATACCCCCAATATACACCTGTTTCTTTTCTGGGAGTACTAGGGGAAACTACAACACCTTTAAGTTTTTTAGAGTCTTGCTCATTAGGTAGAATTTTCACTGTGCAGCGAATACCAGGAGTGAGTAACTTATCAACATGGACTTCCTTTAATAGACCAACATTAACAAATGAACCACTTTTTGTAGGTTTATTTAGAACAACACCCTCCCTGCAAGATATAAAAATAATTATCCATAAATTAAAATTCCGCTACATATTTACCAAATTCAATCATATTTTATTTTTTCAATTCAAGACATATAAGGAAACACATACCTAAACAAAAATTCCTCTTTAGGGCCCAAATGATGAGGTGCATTTAAAGGATTCAATAGTCCACAAAATTTCAAATCATTGTGTATGGGAAAGAAGTGTTTTCTAAGATACTGTGGACACTCCAAGTATTGCAGTATTCTTCCCAGCTGTATACAGGAATGTCTAGCTGTTACATTACCAGCATCACTATCTAAATTAGATTTCTTTGCAGAAGCCTCGTCCCCATAATCATCAAAAACAACTATCTCGTCTACTTGAAATATACAAGCTGCTCTAGCAATTTGGCCAGCTAAATAAGTTCTTAACTCCTGGGATTGAGCGTTTTCTAAAATAGAACCTGGTATCGCTATTGAAAGCGTTGAAACATTACTTAATGCTACATTTGACTCTTTTAATTTATTATCCACTGCTTCTTTGCGTTTTTTCTTTTCTAGTTTCTTAACTAAATTCTGCTCTTTCCATTTTTTCTTCTCTTCCTTTTTTAATTTATTAACTTCGCTCCAACTTTGCTTTTTCACAGGTGCTGTAGTTGGAGCCATAATTCTCAAGTTAATATTTTAATAATAATAAAATAAATAAATAAAACAATATTTTAAGTAGTTGAAAATAGTGAGGTTAGTTTTTTAAAATCACTTTAAAATTATATCGCACTGTGAAAACAAAAGTGGCATTATACTGAAAACATCAATTTTTAGTTATAGCGACATCTGCATTACTTTTGACTTAACGCTCCTTTTGCAAAGACTCCTGTTCTAATAGCTCGCATAGTTTCTCCTAGAAGTCGCTAGTGTCACTTTTGACTTTTAGGTGTTTTGTCAAAGTGGTGATTTCAAAAGTGGCACTCTATCTGTTTTCGGCGGATTGTTGAAGGAGAAGCACGTCGTGGTAAGTAAAAAAGTGACATTTTTTCTTTAGTGCCGGTTTTTACGTAAATTATGTAATTATTCTGCCTAGTTAATGAATGAAAAACTGGCATTTTAAGTATAGTGTCGGTTTTTGAATAACCTAAATGACTAAGTTCTTATATCAATGAATTAAATAATAGCATTTTTCGTTAAGTGCCATTTTTTCTAAAGATTGGAATGAAATTATACTGTTTTTTGTAACTAGATAAATGTCAAATTTAGTTTAATGTCAGTCTTTTAGTAAAAATAATAGGACAATCATGCTGTATTTTAATAAATAAAAGATATTTTTGCAGTTTCTCGTGTGTAGTCGTTTTATAATAATGTAACATAAATAACTGTGATTATTTGTTGAAAAATTACATGATTTTAATATTAAATACACCATCAAAATATTGCTAAGTGCATAGACTTTTTTTGTTTAAGGGGTTATAATCATGGACAATTCACACAGTAGAAGTAGAAGAATATTACAATTAGTTGCTCAAAAAGGTAGTCAAAATCCAGTACCTGAAAAAATGGAAGAAAGATGCCGAAGTTTAGTTTTTACAGAAACTAAATCCAACCATTTGCAAACATCCAGCAAGGACTTCGCTTCGTTTAACAAAGAAAACTTATCCAGTGATGACAGCGGTGACTTTTCACCGTTTCGGATGATGACAGAACATACGCACCCCCAAAAAAAGATGCCGTAAATCTAGCTCTTCATCTACTTCCAGATCTTCATCTTCTTCCAGCTCGTGCTCCTGTTCTACAAGATCTTCTACATGTTCTTCAAGTGCTTCCTCACATTCTTTAACTAAATCTGTAGCTTACGTAGATGAAAAAAATGCAGAACTTTCTAATGAAAACGAAATAATCATACATGAAGAAGTAGTAAGTAAAAATGGTGGTGATTTGACGACAATTATAAATGAGAATAATTCAAATTATTTTAACGAGGATTTTAATGAACATGTTATATCTAACGATGTTGGTGATGAGTTGTTAACTATAACAGATAATGAAAATGTTCGAATTGCAAATAATAATGTCGTGGAGGATATTCCATCTGCGGTTGGAAATGGGATCGACAAACCTAGGAAACAAAAAAAAATGAACGATATGCCAAAACTGTTAAGTCTTTAAAAGACTCTGGACAAGAATATGTTTCGAGTTCTAGATCAAAAAAAGTGTTCCAAGCTAAAACTATAAAAAGTTCTTGTGGATTACGTTGTCGCCTGAAATGCCCCGAAAAAATTAATGAGGAATCAAGAAAACGATTATTCCATGATTATTGGGGAATGGCTTCGCTGATCAGACAAAGAGAATATATCGCGCGTAATATAGAAGAGATCCATCCAAAGTATCAATACAAGAAAGCAGATTCGACTAGAAAGTTAAAAAGTGCGTTCTATTTTGATGTCAATGGTACTAAAAGCAAAATATGTAAAACATTTTTTAAAAATACATTAAATATAACAGATAGATGTATCAGAACAGTTATTGAGAAGAAAAATAATATGACTGGTATACTAGAAGGTGAACAAAGAGGTAAACATGGAAAACATCGGAAAGTGCCAATTGACTTGACAGAAGGAGTAAAACGTCACATCAATAGTATACCTCGAATTGAAAGTCATTATTTGCGGAAACAAACAACGAGGGAATATATAGATGGCGGAAAAACCTTAACAGAAATTTATTTTGATTACAAAGAAGACTGTATACAACAAAGATCGCCCTATGTAATGATACACACATATCGAAAAATATTTAACGAGGAGTTTAATATTGGGTTTTTTGCACCAAAGAAGGATCAATGTGAGCAATGTACTAAATACAAGCTTGCTGAAGGTTGTGAAAAAGTTGCACAAAAAGAAAATTATGAGCGACATTTGGCTGAAAAAGAAAAGAGTCGCGAGGAAAAGGCTAATGATAAAGAGAAGGTATCGCACAGTTTTATTGTGGCATGTTATGACTTGCAAGCAGTAATGCCAGTTCCAAATGGTGAGGTATCAACTTTTTATTACAAGTCTAAAGTAAATTGCTTAAATTTCACTATTTCTGAACTCAAACAGGACAAAACTGAATGCTTCTTTTGGGATGAAACACAAGGAAATCGCGGAGCTAATGAGATAGGTAGTTGTATTTTAAAGTATCTACAGAAAAAGTCGCTAACTGCTGATGAAGAATTGAATGTCATCTTTTATTCTGATAACTGTTGTGGACAGCAAAAAAACCAGTTCATTATTGGGATGTACATACATGCTGTCTTAAATTTAAAAATAAAATCTATTACCCACAAATTTCTAATACGTGGTCATACTCAAAACGAAGGAGACGCTGTACATTCTTTGATTGAAAAACAAGTCAAAAGATGTCTTAAGTCAGGACCAATATACGTACCTTCGCAATATATTTTTGCTATTCGAAGCGCAAAAAAAGAGGGACACCTTTCGTTGTAAATGAAATGAGCTATGGCGATTTCTTGGATATAAAACAATTACCGGTTCCGAGGCTGAATAAGAGCGTAGACGGCCAAGTTGTAAAACTGTCTAATTTAAAAGTAATCAAAGTTGAGAAAAAACGAACATGAAGACATAAAAATTAGCTACAAAACATCTTACTTTGATGATTTTAAAGAGCTTGACTTAAATAAAAGATCCAATAGAAATAGTCGTCCTTCAGAAATCAAACCTCTGTATCAGCGTAAATTGGATATATCACAGAGAAAGAAAGATGATGTAAGAAGTCTTATTGATGCTGGCTTAATTCCCAATTATTACAAATCCTATTATCAAAGTATGTTTGAATAATATTTAAGTTTTTTAATTATTTTGAGTTCAAGAAAATGTTAAGTTTCATTAAGTATTAATAACAGTTTGTTCACTTTTATCAAATAAACAATTTTTCTTTTTAATATGACACAATTTCGTTTTATTTTTCTCTTTTTTTATCATAAGGTAAATATTAACTTGACTTTTTATTCTAATGATCAGAACTTTTATGTAAAACAAAAGTGGCACTATAAGGAATTTTTTTTAAAGATTTTTTTCTAAATTAGTAGTTACATTATTAATTTGCCTTCTTCGGTAGAAGCTAACTGTGCTTTAATCAAACTGTTGAATAACATTAATTATAGTATTTAATTCGGTTATTTTAGTTCAATATCCATTACAGAACTTTTCGAAAAACTTTAAACGGTCATACTGAAATATTTAGTTTTTGGGATAATGCCACTTTTGTTTTCAAGGTGCGATATATAATTTTGCTCCATGACTATACTATAAACCACAGTACATAGCTCTCTAGTAAGTTAAGTACTATAGGAAGATTTAGGAAAGTTTCTAGCGCCAAAGACGGACGGGCCGTAACTAATTTTATTTGTCAGCAAATTTAATACATAGGTTCTGACTTTTAAGCGGCAAATTCAAAAAATATACTAAATTCAAGGTTATTAAAAATAAACAGGTTGTCTGGTAACTTTACACCAATCAGCGTCCAGAATCTAACGGCGGGAATGACGTCACTGAGAATGCTACATTCAAAGTCATTCTCTTTACTCCTTGAAATGAACTCGAAAAGCAGCAATGATTGTAAATATATTAATTTATGTATATTAAAAAAAAAACATTTGGACTTTTAATAACTATTTATTTCATTCAATCTTTAAACAATGTGGGAGATAAGTACTTGCAGAGTTACAGAAATCATAAAATATTATTGCAGTTCTATTTTTATAGGTGTCAAAATTTCGACCAATCATGTGCCAAATCACATTCAATTTCCGGTAAAAGAACTTGCATAGTGTCATACAGGGCAAAAATGTACGTGCAAGAAACGATACAAGAAAACATAAATAACTTTCTATATCAGAAATCATACAAGAAATGATACAGGAAAATGCATAGTATCATGCGGCCTTAATATTATTTTTTTTTTAAACAGTTTTGGGTCCAAGTTGTATACTAAAAATAACTCAATAATATCTATAGATATATTATATCTTAGGATATTAACATAAACTAAAGCACTAACGATATTTAACAACAAAATATATTCTCCAAACCACTTTTCCTATTTTGTTTTCAAACAATTCGTAAAATTGACCCCCTGGGTGACGTCACACGTCATATTTTATTCTCTCAATGTCAGAGTTACCATGCAACCTCCATTTTACTAACCTTGGCTATGTCCTATGTCATACCTCCACCACAGAATAATAAACATACAGAATACCCACTCTCCACGGAAAATTAAGTACGCGCATCTCCTCCGCGCAGACGTTCCGCCATGTTTTAGGAGGATTTTAAAGAAATTATGTGGTGTGCATGGAAAAATTAACCAGGTTTATTTGACTTACGGCAATCATAGACATACTATACAATTATATTAACATTGTTAAATATAATAACATAAATATAATATAATTAAACATAAATATAAACAATTACATAACCACACAAATCATATGTCTGTGTCCTCCTCAAACATGGCGCGCGTGCTGAAAAACTTCAAAGGCGGCATCTGAGAGTGGCCCTTCTGATTGTTTATTATTCTGTGCCTCCACATTGTTTAATATTCTGTGACATAATCTGATTAGTAGCGCCGCCGCCATTACAACGGCTGGGCCCATTAATTCAGTCTCTTCACTTGTCCTACTCTACTTACACTATCATTTCTGGTATATACTGTAGTATCATTTTGATATAAATGTACGTCAAAGCTCGATAATTACAAATAAGAGGCCAAAACTGTTCACAAATCACAATTCAAACGTCATCAAGTTTTGCTTGCTGTCATGCTTCAGAAATTCGCAAGGTGGTGTGAGGTTATGTTTGTTATTTTCTTTGGTTTCTAAACAGTTTAGGATTTTATAAATAAAAAGGAAATATTTTTATAACTTTACTTAAATTCTTAAAATATGGCCACATCAATGGAAGATGTTTTGTTACAAGTACCTCAAGTACGGTATAAAAAAGGCGACGGGTCGCTTTTCTTAATGGACCAAAGACTTATTTGGATGGTCGAAAATAAAGACACTGTAGTTGTTTCTCATCCCTACGCGGATATAAAATGTAAGATTCATTTTTGTATTATTTGTTTATTACTCTACTAAATCAAACTAAAGAGAACACTAAAACTAATTGAATAATCAGGACATAGATCATACAAAGAAGAGGATAAACCCAAACTTCTGCTGTTAAAAGCTATTTTATCCATCTACTAGATGACTTAGGTTGATGGGAAATATAATCTTCGTTTTATTGCATGGTACTTTTCCTTTAATGTATTTTTAAGCAAATAGAAGAAAATGGTTTCACCATCTTAAATTTCTGGCTGAGTTAAGTGTTTCTTCACTGAATTCTTCAGCAAATGCACATTGGGCCACAACATATTTAAGAAGCACATACATACTTAAATTATAATTGATTTATTCTGTATTTTGTTTTGCATGCCATTGTTTATACATAATGTCTGTAAGAACTATGTAATTTCAGCTCAAAAAATCTCTCCTGAAGGGAAAGCCAAAGTTCAATTACAAGTAGTTCTTCACAATGGTGTTTCTTCAACATTTCATTTTACTAATAAGTCTGGGATGCCTGCCCAGTTGGCAGATAGAGATAAAATTAAAGAAATGTTACAATCTTTACTACCAAAATTTAAAAGAAAAGTAAGTGTTTTTTGTTAAACTATAAATAGGAAATGTGGAAAGACTTGATGTCATTAAGTATGAAATTGTTTATTAAGTGAGTATGATTTGATATTACAAGTTGTAGGACTTCCAAAATTACACAACTTTTTTAAATATAAATCCTAAGTTTGAGTGATATATGAAAGGTAGCCATGAAGAAATGTTCTATGCTGCAAGTTATTTGCTGCAACCTCTCCACAACACATTTTACTTCTATTAGTTAAAATTAACAAGCAGGAATCTGCTCCTAAGGTTTTTGTATATAAAAAGTGAAAGACTTTTAGGAACATTAATTGGAAAAAGGCTTAATATGAATCAGTTCAATAGTTAACAATGCAATGATTGGACGTTGAAAAGTTCTAGCCTTATGATATTCAGTACAAATGTAAATTATACTTCTTATGAAAGCCAAATCATGTAAATTGTCAAGGTTTTAATCACTCAGTTGTTCAAGGACTGCACACCATAGTTGACTACCCTAATTTGAAATTAACAAACTGGACAGCACTTGTAAAACCTTTCCGGAGGCTAATAAGACTGATGGACAAGTGAATCTGCTCCCAACAGTAACCTGAACAAGGCTTAATATGAATCAGTTTTATAGTTAATAATGCAATAGTTGGATGCTGAAAAGTTTTAGCCTTACAGCATTCAGTATAAATCTAGAAAACAAGTGAACCTGCTTTTAAGGTTTTTGTATATAAAAGGGCAAGTCTTATAGAAACAGTTAGTGGAATAAAGCTGATTATGAATCAGTTCAACAGTTAACAATGCATTGGTTGGATTTTGAAAAGTTTTTTTGTATAGTGATATAGTGTATTTTATAGATCTGCATATTTTATACTGATAATTTTTTACAACCTGGATGATGTGATAATTTCAGGTAGATAGAGAATTAGAAGAAAAAAATAAGTTACTCTCAACTAACCCTGCCTTACTCCAATTGTACAAAGACTTAGTAATGACTGAAGTTGTAACTTCTGAGGAATTTTGGTCTCAGCATGCACAGCAATATACTCAGAAGCAGAAGCAACAACCCCAAGATATTGGTAATTATAGCTTCTATGAAATAGAGTACAATAAAGAAATAAAATTATTTAACTTTTTAATCTATTTACTATATCTTCTACACTTACAGCTACTTCATTATTTTTACATGTACAGTGGAGCCTCGACTATCTGCCAGGGCACCGGACCAAGGGTATGATGGATAATCGAAAAGAAGGTTAACAGAACATTAAAAAAAAATTCATAGTTTAACTCAAAAATTTTATTTGTATGTTTTTTGACAATATAAGAGGGATTTATGTTAGTACAGTCGAATCAATCTGATTTAAAATATTCCCAAATCTTTATTTGTTTTATTATTACTTCACATTTTGCAACGGCTAAATTTCTTAATCAACGTAAAATCATCAAATCTACCTTATTTGCTTTTCTAATTGTTGAGAATACCACTTGATGCATTGTTGTATGTGCGATGCACCTTCTCTTGCTTCTGTACGCAAATATTTGTGAGTTGCAATAACATCATCAACATCGTCACCATCAAAGTCTCTGTCAGCTTCTGAATCAGTTTCGTTTGCCTCTGTTGCCATTTCAACATTTCATCATTTTTTTTTTCATTGTCTATGTTTCATCCGGCCATCAAACGATTCCATTTGCGAATCATAGAATTCCATCAGCATTTTTTTTTAAATCCTTGGTTATTGTTCTCGGAACATCACACTTTTTGCTCAATGCGACTAAGTGACACAATCATTGTTCGAATTTGAATCAAATTGAATTATGTTGCCACACAGATATTGACTGTAATAATTAATGTGCTCTGCAATTTAATTTTGGACTTGCGATTCTAAAAATAAAACTCTAAAAGCATGGTATCATTTATCATTACCTATTTTAATTGTAATTGAATCCCGAGCCCTGAATAAGAACAATAATGCGGTTGTGGCATAAGTTCATGTGCACCTTTCAACAAATTTTGTTTAGCTCATCGCAATGCTCAAACAAAATAAATTGATGACTAAATTTTTACTTATGTTGTCAATATAGCTTATGAATGGACCCTGACGGTTAACAGAGGTGACAGTTAATAGAGAGACGGATAATCAAGGTTCCACTGTACTGTGAATATTATTAAAGAAAAATATATATTTATGTTCTTTTTTGCATTCAGATTGTTTTTCTTGTCTTTTGACTTTTTTTCTATATACTTTCCTTATATTCACTATATTATTGTGTAAAAAATTAATATTTACCCCCTAATAATTGTTTTAGGTGTTTCTGGAGCATTTTTAGCAGATATAAAACCACAGACAGACGGTTGTAATGGCCTTAAATATAACATTACCCCCGATATTATAGAATGTATATTTAAAACATATCCTGCTGTAAAGAAAAAGTATATAGACAATGTCCCTGCCAAACTTAGCGAATCTCAATTTTGGACAAAATTTTTTCAATCACATTATTTTCATAGGTATGTATTTTGAATAGAAGATAATAAAATCGATAGGATTTATTGATAAAATAGTAATTTTGTTCAAAACGGTGCCACCTACTAGTAAATCTAGAATTTTTCACATTTTTTTACACTTATAAGCCCAAAAGTTAATAGGTTTATATTAGATGCAAAAAAATTCAATCATTATACCAGATAAACTATTCAATGCTTTGTTAGAGTACTAGATTACCAGTGGAACAATTCTGAAGCTACTGATCAAAATTTTGATGCACTGATCAAAAGCCTCCAATATTTAAAATTTTTAATTTGAACCAATTTCTAAGACGTACTAAACATACAGTCGTACTAAATTTGCTAATCAATATATTTGTGATATTTTAGAGATAGGAAATATGCAGAAAGCAAAGATATTTTTACCGAATGCGGAAAGTTAGACGACCAAGAAATGAAAAAAGATATTCAAACTGGAGTTAAAGATCCCCTAATCAATATAACAGAATTTGAAGACAAAACGATAGATGAAGGATATGGTTTAGCTTCCGAAAAACCTGCCAATAGCACTGGAACAGTAAGTCAAGCAATGATCAAAAGGTTTAATCAACACTCTATAATGGTAAGTTGGAAAATTCTGTAGTTTTAAATAAATACCAATAACAATTCACGGTTCTATCTTCACAACTTGCTTTGTAGTTCTGTGCACAAATAATACTATTTTTTGGTACTTGTTGAGGTATTAAATTAGCTGAAGGTAATCGGATGCCATTGTCACATTTATTGAAAGACTCATAGTGGTTTTTCGACCACAATAGCTTCTCTTATAATTCTAAATATCGCTTATGGATCATTGGCTGCCCCAATGATCCATCTTCTTCTTCTTCTTCGTCTAGCCATTCACGTCCACATCTGAACATAAGCCTCTTCAAGTCTTCCTTTCCATTGTTTTTTATTGTACGCTACTTGTAGCCAATTTTTCCCGGCAGTCCTTTGTAGATCACCTGTCCATCTCATAGGAGGTCTGCCTCTGGGTCTTTTGTGTTGGTATGGTCTCCAGGTTAAAATTGATCTGTGCCATTTGTTTAGATCGCTCCTAGCTACATGTCCAGCGTATTCCCATCTCAGCTTTAATGATTTTTGCACCACATCGGTGACTTTGGTTTTCTGTCTTATCCATGTGTTTGTTTTCTTGTCCTTAAGTGATATACCTAGCATTGCTCTTTCCATCGCGTGTTGAGTGACTCTAAGTATATTCATATTCTTTTTTGTGATTGTCCATGTTTGTGCCGCATAAGTTAATATCGGAATAATGCATGCATCAAAAACTTTAGATCTAAGATGTAATTGAATTTGTTGATTTCTGAGTATATAGTTCAGTTTACTGAATGCTGCCTAAGCTAACTTGATGACAATAATCCATAGTTTGATATAAACAAATGGGGGTATAGTCCTAAAGTTTTTGAATTATATTTTATGACCTATGTGTAGATAACGCTGTGCTATGGAAGAAATAGAGCCTTATCCAATATTTTAATAGCAACTGTAGTGTATAGCATACAATTTTTTTTCTGGTAAATATCCGTATATGTTTTTTCAAAAATACCTCATTATAAGACTATAAACTTTGTATGCAGGTAGATTCATCTGGTTGGTCACATGTTTATTATTTTCAGGTACTAAAATCGTCCAAAAATGCAGTAAATGATAATTTACAACAGAACGGAGCAGACAAGAGTACAATAAACGCCAATGGTGTAAATGTCAATGGACAGACATGTAGCGATGGTCCAATAAACAAAAGGCAGAGGCTTTTAGAAAAAATAACATACGATGATTTACAAGATACTGATAATAATAGTAATACAAAAAGTGTTCAATTAAATTTATCAAAAGTTAGTTTTCCTTTGATTTTTATACCATACTTTTTTTTAACTCATTAATTTCCAGGTCGAAAGATATTTACACGGTCCCATGCCTGACTCTTCCACCGATTATTTAAATCCAAACGAAGCTGCTTCAGTATTAAGGGGAGTCATTCAAGAAACGAGGCAATGGGGAGGGAGGCATGCGGCGACTTCGCTAGTAACACCTGCAGCTGCCGTCGCAGCTTTAGGGGAACTATCACCAGGGGGTGCACTAATGAGGGGATTCCAAGAACAATCGTTGGCTCGTAAGTTGCTTTATTTTTTAGCTACTTTATATGAATTTTGATGAAACAATGATATTGCTAGAGAAGTAGTAAATCATCTTAAAAGAAAAGTTTCCCATACAGTTTTCAGTGTCTACCCTTTTTCTTTATGTTAAATAAACGTTTCTGCTTTTACTGAAGTTATAATAAACCTTTTAAAATTTCAAGGTTCTAGTAATGTTTGTTTTTGTAAGACGTTGTCCTCATACTTTATCAATTATTTGCGACGTGAATTGGCTGGGTATAATGTTGATGCTATGATTTTTGAAAGTGGTATGGCTGCAGCTCAAAATAACTCTTTGGAGCAATTGCTTAGAGTGGCCTTGATGATTGTCAATCTCTGCAATGGAGATGGCACTTAAAAAAGTTTCTTTTAGAATTAATGTGGTTATATTCTTCATTTTAATGTTTAATTCAAAGTCTTGTACGTAGTTTTACCACGTTCTGTGGTAAAACTATTTAATTACATTATTTTTTTCAGAATTGGTACCACCTGATATAGAAAAGGAAGTTCGAAATTTATATTTGGCCCTCTGTGAACTACTAAAACACTTTTGGAAGTGTTTCCCTCCGACAACTCCGAACACAGAAGCAAAACTAATCAAAATGCACGAAGCGTTAAATAGGTTTCATACGGCAAAGTTAAAACCCTTTGAAGTAAGTGTCCGCAGATAATTTACTAGTTTTAGTTGTCAAATGATTTTATAAATTAATTTAGACATTCTATTTCCACTGAGTTTTGATACTTTTGATGTGCTATAAACCCGGAAAACAATGTATCGTTATTTTTGATACAGTATATATGCTGAACAATTCACAGATCGTTGAGGAATAAGGTAAGAAACTAGCGAAATAAATTTTTTCATAAGAATGAAAGATATTTACAGACAGAAGTGAAAGCGTGGCTGAAGTACTTAAGTGAAGAGGTCAGAGTTAAGTAAGGCGGTATTGACCTCCCACCTACCAGTATACAAGGCATTTAGTGAGCGAGTTATTGGTTTTGATCGATTTTCACGTATTCAATATTTATAATAATTATAAAATCGCAAGGAAAATCTATAATAATAATTGTACACCCCTACGGGCAAATAAAGATAAAGCTATTTACACTACGGTTTATAGCGTTTGCATGAAAAATTACCATCACGATAGTTAAGAAATCTGGTGCAGTGAAAGGAATTGCTGCAAAATGTGGTCAATGTGTAAAAAGTGAGGTTAAGTGAGCAGACATGGACAGCCGGAGTGTGACGTCACGGCGGCCATATTGTTGTTATTACTTTCCAAACAAAAGTTGAAACGCCCAATCTCAAGACTTTTTAATTTCTGTAAAGTTAACATTTTGCTTCCTCTGTTGCTTTTTCTTTTAAGTATAGTGTTTTTTACGATAATACCATCATAATTCAGTGTTCTATTTTATGAAATATAGTATAAAAGTAAGAACAGTAAATTACAGAAATTACAGAAAATAAATATAGTATAGTAATAAATAATAAATATAGTAATAAATAAAGTAGAAAAGTAAATTACAGAAATTCTAACCTTACTTTATTGATACATGCATTTTATTGCTATTTTTATAAAACAACGTGCTTTATTATTTACACAACCTTGTAAAATTGTTGTAAAAAAAATTCTGTAAAAAATATGAAAAAATAACGAAAAATACAAATTATCCACACTAAACAACGTTTGTTTGGAAAGTGAAACTGACAGATGTCAATAAAATCTACATCATCACTCCAGCGGCCCATTGAAATTTTCATAATGAATTTTAAAAATAATTTCAGAAGATCGTAGATGTCTTTCTTAAGTAGTAAATTTGATTCTCTTATGTTGGAAAAAGATAGTGATCACTATTTAGTTAAAGCACGATTTAAAGAGAGAATATCCAATTTAAACATTGCAAATTGCAAATTTTGAGACCAATTAGGTTATAACTAACGTCAAATCAAGAATAGATTACGAAATCTTAAAAATAGCATATATATGCTATTATCATGGTTGATTGTATGCATGAATTGTCTCTCTCTTGTTAATTAATTAATAAAAATTTTTTTTTAATTTTTTTTTGTTTTATCATAATATAGGTAATAATTATAACTAATAAAGTAGTAAAGCTCGCCTTGCTGTAGGATCAATATAAATAAGCAATTTAAAAAAATGGCCCATGCTCAACTTAATTGTTTTAATGGGCACTACTGTTTATTTACCTTGAACCAATTACAGAACTACAAAGTAAAAGTAATATTTTTTAAAATTTATTGTCATTTAATTACTTTATTGTAATATAATTAATTGTATATTTCATGGAAATAAACGTTATTATTAAATGTATACAGACAGCAAATAGAAGATCAAATAAGGACAAAAAACTTAGAAGAAGACATTAACCCACTATGGGCAAATATACTATACTCTGTTTTTTAACCAGGAGGAGTAAACCAAAAAGACAGATTTACACTCAAGAAAGTTACTAGAAAAGTCACCAAATACATCTTCTTTTTTTGTTGATTATCTCGGCCTTACGGTAATCGAGTAATCAATATTGGACAACCTCACACGTCAATTTTGTTTATTTATGTTTGAATAATAAAATATATTTTTTTTTCAATTTCCTTCCAATATATATAACAATTATTACAATAAAAAAAGGACGTTTTTCACATTTGGTCCCATGTGCATATATTTAAATAGAGGAGAAGGTGGTAATATGGCCCCTGCATATTTTATGGGCCCCCTCCGTATTTTAATAACAAAGTGCTGAAATCTAGTGGAGAACGCTGGAACTAGTTCACTAGTATACCAACTGGCCGGTAGGAGCGCTGTGAGCCATTAAGTGCAGTCACTCAGTAATTGTGCAGTAGTTTGTGTTTTGGTCAATCTTCAAAACTTTGAAAGGTATGTAAATTTCTTGATTTTAACTTACCATAAATAAAAATAACTTAGTTCTAAGTATCGTGCATATGAATTAGAGGTTATTACCTACAGTTTAACACAGACTAGAATGTTCTAAGTCTTTTACATTTTATCTTGTAAACACGTGTTTTAAACTTGGAGATGTGTGTATTATGGCCCCCCTAGGTAATGGTAATATGGACCCCGGGGTCCATATTACAAGAAGTTTCAATATTTGTGGTTTTTTATTTTTCAGATGCCTAGAATCAGCTTAACACCTAAACCAGCCAGAAAAAGGCAAATTTGGGACAAGGACAAAATGAAAGAAGCAGTAGCAGTTGTCACTGAAAAGAAAATGGGTGTCAAAAAGGCTTCTAAACATTTTGATGTGCCTAAGACCACTTTAAAAAGATATGTTAAAGAGGCAAGTACATCTGAAGCCACTGAAGTTCACACAAAAAAGCTAGGTAGGAAACCAGCTATACCTGAAGAACTGGAAAATGAACTAGTGGAGTACCTGAAGTATATGGAGGCAAAATTTTACGGGTTCACTCGCTTGGATGTTCGTCGAATGGCTTACCAACTAGCAATTAGAAATGGGATTCAAACCAACTTTAGAAACGAAATTGCTGGCAGGGCTTGGTTGGACCATTTCCTTAGACGACACAAAGACAAGTTGTCACTCCGAAAGCCAACTGGAACATCATATGCTCGTGCAAAAGGTTTTACTCGTGAAAGAGTTAATGCCTTTTATGACTTGCTGGAGTCCGAATATTCAAAACACAAATACCCAGGTGACCGTATTTGGAATGTGGATGAAACGGGCCTGAGTGTAGTTCAGACAAAAATACCACAAGTTATTGCCAGTAAAGGTAAACGCCAAATATGTTCTCTAACTGCGGCAGAACGTGGATCTTTGGTCACAGTCATATGTTCAATGAGTGCAGGAGGATCTTATGTCCCTCCGATGTTGATTTTCCCAAGGATAAACATGTCTGATCTCCTCCTGGATCAATTGGAAGAGCTCACCCGTCTGGGTGGGTTCAATCAAATCTGTTTAGAGACTGGTTAGCTCATTTTATTGAAAAAACAAATCCAACAGAGACCTCGCCCACACAAGAAACATTGATGTGATCGATTTGGCAAGGAACAATTACATCACGATATTGTCCTTACCATCCCACACAACACATAAATTGCAACCACAAGACCGCACTTTTAAGTTTTCAAGGGGGAGCTTTAAAGACTAACTACAGTGAAAATATCCGACAATGGATGCTTCATGAAGATAGATAGACCTGTTGGGCCTTACGATATTGCGTCCTTTTTGGGAAAGGCGTACCTCCGATGTACCACAGGAGTAAACGCTGTAAATGGATTCTGGGTCACAGGTATTTACCCTCTGGAAAGAAATATTTTTCAAGACCATGAATTCACTGCAGGGGAGGAGGAGGCACCAAACGAAAATCAGGCCGAGAACACTGATAACCGACTGCATGACACTCCTGCAGTTGAAGTCAATCCTCATCCACCAACAATCTTCGCTGTGTCTCCTAAAGACATTCACCCCGTTCCAGAAAAAAAGAAAAAATCAAACCGTGGACGAAAACCCTGCATCACAAACGTCATTACTAGTTCTCCTTATAAAAGAACGAATGTGCAGGGGCAGAGAAGGATGAGTACGTCTGCGATTTCTGTCGTTGTTCGTCCATTATTACCATGTAGGACATTTTAATTTTGTAGACTAGACTATATCTACCTATACATACATATTATGCTTTATCTACTTATATACACTCTATCTACTTATGTATAATAAAAAGGTTTTTTGTTCAATGCAGTTATAATTTTCAGAATTTGCCAATATTTCCTTAAATTAATAAGGGGGTCCATATTACAAACACCATGGGGGCCATATTAACTGCACATCCCGTTTTCTGATGAATGTGTCAACTTTTAAAAAAATATTTAAAAAAAATGTAAAATGAAGTCTTAAACCGCTTTAACTATTATAATGTGTTCGGTAACTAACACCATATCGTAACTAAGCTAACAATCTCTGTTTTTTATTAATAATATCAATTTTACAATAAAAAATCAAAATGGGGGTCCATATTACCACCTTCTCCTCTATCGGGTGATCCAGTTTTATAGATCTCTTAAGTCTATGGTATTTAATTATAATTTAGAGAATATTTTTATCGGGAGAGTCAATAATGTTACAGATCTAAGTATGGTTTTTCTCAGAAATTTGTCTTTTAACAGTAGACCATATTCTTATTCTGGTATGATCAATTTCTTGAATTTAGTTCTTTTTTTCTTATCAGATACTTTGTATAAATAAGTGTGTACTTACAATTTCTTTAATGCTGAATTCTTGTTTAATTTTGACAGTGAGTTTGTCCCATTTGTTATTAAGAAATACTAAAAAATACTGGATTTCTGTGAGATCAATAAATCCAATCTATTATGTTACATTCTTGCATAATTTTGCAGTTTTCTTGTGATGATCTATAACCAGGAAGATCAAAACCAACTGTATCATACAATCAAACTAAAACACAACATTACTTTACTAATGTTCTTTTATTGTGATGAAAACAAAATGGAAATGCTTCTTAACAATTATATACTATATTTAAAAGATAGTTGCCGTTTTTCTTATGATAATTAGATATAAATAACATACATTTATAAAAACTATATTTAGTATAAATATCATCTAGAAAAATATCACATTAAATACTATTCGCATATCACCAAGTCCAAGTTATTACAAACAACTTAAAGAGTCAGAAATCGATTTATATATTAGAGGAAAATAATAATAATAAATAAATTTCACTCATTAGTGTCAATATGTCATAATTTAGTGGAGTAAACTTGCCTGCGGTTGGACCAATTGCAAACAAGCATTACGGCGCGGAAAATTTGAATTACTCCTCCTGGTTTAAAAACAGACCATAGATATTGTGTTACAGAAATGGGTTGAAATATTGGGCAAAACCAAGTCAGAAAAAAGAAATCATGGGTTTGATCATGTGCGAAATGGCCACAAATAGAAAGAAAACAGCATTTCAAAAAACCATCAACGCCGTTTGTACACGGAGAAAAAAAGAAGAGTATACACGTCTTAGAAGAGAGAAAAAACGTATCCATCGACGTAAGAAGAGGGAATACGAACAGAACACTCTCAATGAGATATAAAGTTTGATAAAAATGAAACGAGGAAATACTACAAATCCTTAAATGATAGCTGTCGAGAATTTAAACCACGATTAAACATTTGTAAGGACTTCAGTTCTTCACAGATGGGCACAAGTTTTCCTTATCGTGAAATGGTGTATTATTCTCTAATAAACTCACATCAGTCTTATTTAACTATAATGTGGGGTAATACCACTCATAAACAGCTTTATCCTCTTGTGGTGTTACAAAAGAGTGGAAAGCTTAGAATGAATAGCAATATAAATGTTCATAGAAATTTACTAAAGTCTTTTGTCAACTCTGTAAGATTTTTGCATACATAATAATTGTACTTTACAACTAACCTTGTATTTTCGTTTCAGGATAAGCTGATCCGGGAGTTATCTCCTCTGTCACATCACCTCACCAAACACCTGAACCAATTGCTGAATGCAGCATATCAAAAATTCAATAACTGGCAAAAGATCAAAGTGCGTTAGCTACAAAACTGCCGTAAAGTAGTATTTTTTAACAAATTAAATATTGCTATAAACGTTAGATAAACAAATATAACGTCTTGACATCAGAGGTTGTTTGAAAAAAATATGAAAGTCGAATCTTAGTTTTTTTTAAGGCCAACAATCAGAAGTTTTACCTATGTTTTATCCTTTTTTAACCAAATTCTTTCAAATTTTCGATCACAGGATATAAATGTTGACGTTTATTTTATAAACGTGTCTAAAACCACGAGTACCTAATAGAAGTTCTCTGAATTTTGTGTATTTCCTAAATTTTATAATAAAATATTAATCCTAAGTGAATCGGTCATTTCAGAAACGATAGTTTAGAGTAAATCCGTGACAGTCTGTGTAGGTCCGTGACAGTATTGTTTGATTATATCATAAAAAGGCCACTCAGGCTTGTAAACATCATCAGCCCCACTTCCAGTTCCCATCGATTCTCAAACTTTTGTTTTTTGCCTTTTGTATGTCGGCATTAAATTATTTCTCTTCTTTTTTTATTTTTTAATTCTTTAATCGAAATAGTACTATTCTTCAATTGATTGTTTATTCGGTTCCATACATCGTATATATCGGTTTCGTTTCTTATGCTCTGGTGCCGTAGAATTCCACAAATTTGTTTCATTTTGATACAAATTTAAAAAATCAAAAATAACTTCGTTTGTCCAATCCATTTTTTAGCAAAAAAACTGCAAAACAACTTTGACAACACTACAGACAACTACTCGTGTCAGCGAATGAAAAACTTCTGACTTGCAGTTGTCTGTTAAAACACAGACGCGCTAGGATCGCGAGCACAAGCATATACCGCACCTTTGATGTTACCGACTCTAGATGGATAGGACGCACCAGCACGGACGTGCCTGTGCTACCACGGACGAGACCTTTCCCACGGTGCGTGGTGCGGGCTGGTCCGCTTACGTCCGCAATATCGCCGACCGTGGGAAGCCGCTATAAGAAGGATACAGCTCCATATTCGATAATTGTTGGAAAATTGAAAAAACTGTTTTTTAATAAAAGTTTTTATTTGAACCAGAAACACATAATATCAATCGATGAAAAACAGATTTAGTCAATACTTGAAACTATTTTGGATAATTTTTGAAAAAATAAGAAAAAAATTGAAAAAAAGTTGTACCTGCATCTTTCTTGCACCAAACACGTTAAATAATGCTTCTTTACCATCATTTTTGAAAAAAAACAAATTCCCAATAAAAACTCTTTTATTCGGTTACAACAATCAAACGACTATGGTTTGCCTACTACACAAATACGAAAAAATCTATAAAAAGAAACAGGCTGGTGTCAAAAAATAGCATTCAGAAAAAAAAAAAAATAAAACATTAAACACACGGGCAAACACCTCCTTCATTCATCTACCTGGTCGTCATCATCCGTTGCAGATGATTCGGTTTTCTGGTTCTCTGTCATGGCGGCGTCACTTGTGAGACGGGTGTAAAAAGCCGTTTGGTCCATATAAACGAATCGTGTTACCAACTGATTTACATCTGCATATTGGGCTTTTTTGACAGGTATAGCATTGCAATAGACAGCAATAGAAGAAACTGAGAGGTCGCTGTCAAGGTTTCTCAAGATTTGGAATAAGTGAAAACTCGGTAGGCCAGTAGATATACTGACTTTCTTTTTCTTCTAGTTCTATGACCGTTATCGATCGTTGGATATCATGTTGGCTACCATATTCGCTATCGTGACTTTATTGACAGCAGCTCTAAATAACGATGTAAGTAGTTGATTTTCCATGCCAATGCCTTAGATTTTTTAGCCATGATATTCTTCATCTACCATGACCACGATTACCTTGGATCTTTCCCTGAATGATCAGATGTAAAAGATCATATTTTTCAGGTTGTCTCATAATGTGACCGAAGTATTCCAGCTTGCGTTTTTTTATTATATTGACCAGTTGTGTTTTTTGGCTCAGCCGTCTAAGGACCTCCTCATTTCTAACTCTGTTGACCCAGCTTATTTTCAGTAGTCGTCTGTATACCCACATCTCAAAGTCTGTCAAGCGTTTAAGCATAGCCTCAGTTAGAGTCCACGCTTCCACTCCATACAGCAGGACAGGAAAAATGTAGCAAGATGTCATACGAACTCTAAGGTCAATGCTAAGATCGTGACTGCAAAGTACGTTTCTCATTTTTACAAAGGCAGCTCGGGCTTGTTCTATTCGGCTTTTAATTTCTGCGGTTGGATCCCAGCTCTCATTGATTTTACTGCCGAGATATACGAGTTTCTCTACTCTGTCCAGTGTGGCATCTCCGACTTTTATACCATCATCCTGTATATAATTTTGTATCATATATTTAGTTTTCTTAACGTTGAGTTTTAATCCATACTGATCACAAGTCTGTTTTATTTTGTTCATTAGATTGTGAAGGTCTTCTCCGCAATTGGCAAGGACTAAGGTATCGTCGGCATATCTAATATTGTTGACGGTTACTCCATTCACAATAATACCTTCGGTTGTCTCCATTAAGGCTTCCTTAAATATTTCCTTCGAATATAAGTTAAAAAGTAAAGGCGACAATATACAGCCATGTCTCACTCCTTTTTTTATATTTATTTCATCCGACAGTTCTTGTTCAACCTTTATTCTTGCCACTTGATGCCACATACAGTGGCCTGAGGCCTCTTGCACATCTCTGCAATTTCTGCCATTTTGTTGTAGTACCTCTTTGCACGTCTTTTTTGTGCAGGTAATTCAGCAACGGACACGCGCTTCACTGTCTCGCTTAAAGATTTACTCTTAATTTTTATATCTTACTGTTCACATTCACAGCAATGGTCTACCTGTGGATGTCCAAAAGATAGAGAAAAATGTTCCTGGAAAATTTTTAAATAAAATTTATACTTCACCGAACTATTATTATTATCAGGAAATTTGGCACAAAATATTTCGTATATAATTTGCAATTCAATTTTTTGTCTAAGTAATTTACTTCTCTTTCCCTGTGTAATGTGAAATCTTAGTAGGAAAACTCCCAATATAAGTCTTAATCTATTCTATTAAATTTTCAGACTTAGCGTTCCCTGAAATAGTTTTTCCACGTTTATCTAATGGTGCTTTTCGTTGTACAAGAAGCTTTTCATGCCTTATAGTGTAAATTCTCATGAAAGCTTTTTTGAAAAACAATAATTTTGCTCCCGAGCCTGTCACGGAGTAACTATTGATATATCTTCTATTTTTTGGATTTTCATTTCGAGGATGTCTCTGTTTTACTTCATTCACACTTTCCCATAAGCCTTTGTAAGTATGCATGCTTCTGAAGTTGGCAAATATTTCAGCCCTTACACCCGCATTAACTTTTTCAGAGCACTTCAAGCGACAACTACAAAAAATATATATAATAATTTCACGTTTTAAAACTATCTTAACCTTAAAACATACCGACAGTTTTCTCCTGGTTTTCTTGCAGGTACAACATAACCTTTTTAATTTTCATATTCTTTCCCGCGCAGCATCACTTTCTTAATAATTTCTGACTTATAATTGTCTTTTTTACCTCTTTTTTTTTTATTTTTTTCTTAATTCAGATTAACATTCTTGCCGTTTATTGCAGTCATCTTGATCGGTTTGTTTACAAATGACAATTACGCGCAGAAACATCAGTCGATGACTCATGTTATTGCCAAAAATTGAGTCCTGTTGACAGATTTAGTATTATTTCTAAAAATCGCATAGGTAAATTATTTTAAATGCATTTTGAAATTCAGTCAAGTTAAATAGTTTTCACTTATGTTGTGACTACCTCCTAAAACCTAACAATAAATTAGTTATGTGGGTGGAAATTTTCGTTTATTAAAAATTAATGAATGAAAACAATTTCTATCCTTGTGCGATCGGTACTCACCAGAGGGACCGCAGACGTTCGGATACAATTAGCGTCTCTTAGCAAAGACAATGACGTCGACTTTGCTAAGTATCAAGACAATTACTCTACACATACACACACACACACACACACACACACACACACACACACACACACACACACACACACACACACACACACACACACACACACACACACTACACCAGGTACCTGACTGTACCATGCCAATGATCATAGTTGTCGAGGCATTAACTTAATAAAAAAAAAAAAAAAAAAAAATTAGTTATGTCACAGTAAAATGGCGTATTGTTATGATAAAAGAATACCCCTCACTGTTGCACATTTTTTCTAACATAATATATATTTTTTAATTGTGGTCTAAATTTAAAAGTTTTTGTTTAAAATTATAAGAACGAACAATTGGTTTTGTATTGTTGGCAATTAATAAAAACAGTATTTTTGTTGTTTTAGTTAAGTCAGATTTTGGTACATAAGACATTCAACCAAATTTAAATGCATTTTAAACTTGCAAGTTAGGCAAGTCTTGGCCGCCTTTAATGGCCCCTTTTTCTCCACTGTTTTAACTACCCTTTGCATGCAGCTACCAAATCCAAGCTGCCAATAGGTATTATGTACAAACTATTTTATTCTTGACTATCAGCGCCCTCTAGCGCACCTTTCCATTTTAAATCTGGATTTCCTCTGTATATATTCTTGATATATATCATTGTGTATGCCTATTTCGTGCTGCATTGTGCCAAGACTGGGTGACTAGCTAGTCTTTCTTGTAGGATGCATTTAAACATACATTTTTTCTGTAACTACAACAATATGTTGCGTTGGTTGTTAGATTCCAGACATAAATAAATTTACAATGCGAAAAAATAGTATAAACAGTTTTTAATAGTCAAAATTCTTTTTATCTTTTGTTAGCAAAAACGAATAAGAAATATAGCAATACTACACAGTTTTGCAGTGCCTTTTAGCATCAATACGTATAATTTAGATTTTCAACTGGTACTGCAAAAGTGTGCGATATTTATTGTAAAGATTTTTAAGGTATTATTTATTTCTGTTGTGTATTGTTATAAAATCAATAAAAATTGGTAATATGTATATGTGTTTTTATTTAACTTGTAGTGAATGAAATGAAATAGTAAACATTTTGACATGGAATATAAGAAGTACTTATGAGCAGGGAACTTTAAGTAACTTCGATCAAATAATGGAAAAATATACTGCAGATATCCTTGCCCTGTAAGAACACAAGCAACTGGGAAATAAAATAATAAAATATAGGAAAGACCACCCTGTTCAAGAGTGGGGGATCAAGAGACATTTCGGAGAGAGACTCATGGTGTACGAGAAACTAAACAAAGTAGTTGTATGAAATCGTAGGCTTCCACGGCCAGAGTCAGAATTATAGTTTATTCGTCTTCCGGGTTTGGACCGTGTCATTTGTGAGTGACCCAAAAGTGGGTTCATCTCAGAGATGAACCCACTTTTGGGTCACTCACAAATGACACGGTCCACACCCGGAAGACGAATAAACTATAAAGTAGTTGTAGATTGTCAAGCAATATCAGATCGATTATTACTTGAGAGTAAGGGGAAAATATAGGAAGGCAAGTATCATTAATGTAGATGCGTCCACTGAAGATAAATATTTAGAAACCAAAACACAATTCTACGAAACGCTAAGCACCACAATAGGACATACGTGGTACCTCGACATTTACCAATTACCAATAATTCTAAAACCTATTAGAGACAGATTAAATTACTAATTAGAGTGCCTTCAAGAGAAACAATTTGTAAACAGACTACAGTAGAAACCACAGTTAGAATGCAGTGTCGGTCTTACGGTGCGCAGCGATGCCTTCGCAGCGGATTATGTCGGAACAGTGGTAGGTGAGTGGTAGTTTGGCACTAGACTGAGAAATCAGGACCGTACGCGCTTGGTTTCAAAAATCTTCCCGCCTTCTTTCCTTTTTTTAATTTCCCATTGGTCTTTTGGTTTGGAATCTTGTAAAATATTGTGTATAAATATTAGTTGATTTTGAAAACCAAAGTACAGTCTACCTCGGTCTCTCCTAGAGCCCTAAACCCTAGGGAGCCAACTAGCGGGGCTCTGCTCCACCTACCTAAGACTCTGAGGCTTTGTCTTCGACTTCTACAAAAATAGTTTTATTTCAATCCGTCCCAACTTGTAAAAGGGATAAGTGCCTAGGGTATTTCACACATCATATTCACGAAATATTCTAGAGCAGAGCGTACGGTGGGAGACGGTTTTACCGTCATGTTACCCCGTCGAGAAGACATGGCGCCCAACAAATGGATTAAAATCTGAACCTACTCCGAAAGCTATATTAACCCCGCCATCTAGTTTTGCAGCAGTCCTGATGCCTTCCGTGTACCAGGTGTTTTAACGAGCTAGCCTTCTTCGACGTGTGAAGCCCCGGAAGCTACGAAAATCCTGGAGTAGCCACAGTCCCTGCCTGCCCTACCAATATGTGGTCCGCGTCACCACGGAGGCCCAGGCAAACTCGCCTACGAGACCCTAGGATAAGCGGATGGGTTGATTTTTTCCAAATTTTTATAAAAAAAAATTTTTTTTTTTATGTTTTGGTACAATTAAAATTCTCCAGTTTTTTAGCATATACAAACGTCCAAATTGAAAATTTTTCTCACGAACCGTTAGATGTAGGAAAAATCTGTCAAATCTGTCTAAGTATGTCAAAAGAACGAGCGGTCAATTTTATGTAAGAAATGTCCACCCGCTTGACTCTCGGACCAAAATTGACGCCAATATAGCCGAATACCGAAATTTGAGAAAAAATCCAAGGGTACCCCCTTAGATAATTGTTTCCAAATTTTTATAAAAAAAAAAAAAATTTTTTTTGATGTTTTGGTACATGCATTGGGTCCAGCTTATTGCAAACATGTGTTTTAGTTTGATCCGCTAACCCCAATTTGCCGGAAAGGAGAAAAAATCGAATTAAAAATTCTCCAGTTTTTCAGCATATACAAACGTCCAAATTGAAAATTTTTCTCACGAACCGTTAGATGTAGGAAAAATCTGTCAAATCTGTCTGAGTATGTCAGAAGAACAAGCGGTCAATTTTATGTAAGAAATGTCCACCCGCTTGAGTCTCAGACCAAAATTGACGCCAATATAGCCGAATAACGAAATTTGAAAAAAAATCCAAGGGTACCCCCTTGGTACTACCTTACTAACAAAGAAAGACTCTCTTTTCTTGTCTAATTTGGCCTCTAAGATGGCACTTCCTGTCTAACAATATTTTTGCCCCACTACCTTTAAATTCCCTCTTTTGTCTTTTTGCTCGATGAGGTTACCACACTCATGTTTTTAATTAGTGAAATAAAGACCCATAAAAAACATTCAACAACATTTTCATTTAATTAAACGTACCTACATATACAACAGTAGTCTCTTTCTTTTTCATGAAAATTTGGTTAAGTATTCTAAAATTTACTTAAAGTGAAAAAGCACTCATACCTACTTATAACATTTACCTTTTTTTGGGGGACTTCTCTCCATCAAAATGCTGGTTCGTTGACGACATTTACAATTGAAATTTATTGAATACCTTTCTTTGTAATTACTAAATCTAAAGGTTTCGAATAAAACAACGAGATTAGAATAGTCTGTATATTAGTCTAAGAGTGAGATGATATAATCTGAATCTAGTACTTAAAGCTCTATTCGTTAAGGTATCACTACACCTAAAAATGTTAACTTCTAGTACATTAAGACCCAAATACTATTATATTTTTTCTTTTATTACATATTTCTTTTATATATCAGCAGATTCATTCATAATTATTTTCAACGCCGTTTGCGTTTTGCTTGGAGTTTACCAGAGTCGCTTTGGGAGTATTGACAGTTATTTGAGGTACGGAAAGCACAGCTTTGGGCTTTTCTCCTCGTTTAGACAAGTCTTCAGCGATTTGTTCCTGAAAAATAAAAAAAATACTTATAATTAGATGGAGTGATTAACATGGTAGTATTAATAGAGTAAGGAAGCAACGATTTCACCAAAACATTCTTTGATAGAGGTATCTATAAATATACTGCTTTGGATAAATTCCGTGAAAAAAATATGTAACAAACAAAATATGCAAAAGATTTCATCATTTTTTACTTATAAACAATATACAGAGTGGCCCAAAAGTCTGGAAACGGCCAATTATCTCGTAAATTGCTAGTTATAATTGTACAAAATTTGAGGTACACCTATTTTGGAATACGAAGATTCCATATTTGATATTTGCAATGTTGCCAGATTTTCCGTTTCTCTTATATTATTAGTAACTTTGGTTTTTTAAATGCATCACCCTGTATATTTAGTCATTATTGGAATTTCATATTCAATACAATTTCAACCATATGTAACACTTATGATTTTATGTAGTCTGAAAGGTCTTAAATACATAAAACACAAGTCTGGCAACGCCTAATTGTTTCAATAAATTTTTAATTGTAATTATTTTCAACTACATGAAAACGTAACGATTGATAGATTAGAACATTTTTTAATAATAGTTACGTTATTAAGTGTTCAAAATGTGCTCAATTTATGAGTTGACAGTACCCTAATCGATGGTAGAATGCGTCTTTCACATTTCTCCATGATGGTCTAGAAACAATTCGAGATTCATTGATAATTCGTTGCTTTAGCGCTGCAAACTTGTTGGTTAAGTTTTGTAAACTAAATTTTTCAAGTATCCTAATAAAAATAATCTTTATGATTGAAATGGGGTGAACGTGAAGGCCATTCAATTCTAGCTTGTCTACCAATTTATCGTCCGGGAAATATCTCATCTAAATATCGCCGAACATTTACACCATCTATCTGACGTTAAATTTCTTTTGATAAAAAATGGCCCAACTGACTGAGTACCTACTATACCTGACGATACATTTAATTTTTGTGGTCTTTGAGTATTGTTTTCACGCATTCAGTGTGAATTTGCGTCACTCCAGTACCTTAAATTGTGTCGATTTACACTTCCACACAGTGTAAAGATTGCTTCATCGGAAAACATATTCTGTTAACGAAATTTTAATAATTTTCAATTTTATCCATCATTACCTCAGTAAACTCTAATCTAAGATCGAAGTCATCTTCACTTAATTCTTGCAATAAGTTTATTTTGTATGGTTTAAACTTTAAACCATAAACCCTTAAATGACAGGTTCTAGAAAGCGTACAAAAACTAATATTCTAAAAATGATAAAGGGGATATTATTACTGATATGAAGGAGAGATTATGTTACTGGACCAATTACATTCAACAACTATTTAGTGATGAAAGAGAAGAACTGTCATTAGAAATTACCGAGGATACCGGACCACCAATATTAAGAGAAGAAGTCATCTATGCCATCAAAAACACAAAAGAGGGTAAAGCTACTGGACCAGATAAGGTGCCCATCGAATTATTAAAACTCACCGATGAAGATGTTATTGATGTAATGGTTGAACTCTTTAATCTAATATATCAGACTGCCACAATCTCCAGACAATGGCTGCAATCAACCTTTGTAGCAATTCCCAAAAAACCAAGTTCAACAACTTGCTCAGACCACAGAACAATAGCTTTAATGAGTCACACACTTAAAACATTTTTGAAAATAATTTACAGCAGAATTGTTAAAACTCTTGAATATGAGATTAGTGACACACAATTTGGCTTTAGAAATGGTATGAGTACAAGAGATGCTTTGTTCGGCTTGAATGTGCTGGCTCAGAGATGCATGGACATGAATCAGGATATGTACTTATGTTTTGTAGACTTTGAAAAGGCATTTGATAAAGTTCAACATAAAAAGCTTGTAGATATATTAAAAAGCAAAAATATTGACAGTCGTGATCTGAAAATTATATCTAATTTATATTGGAATCAAACTGCCAAGGTAAAAGTTGACAGCCAGTACACCGAAAATATCAAAATACAGAGAGGAGTTCGCCAGGGTTGCGTGCTGGCGGACTTTTCAATGTCTACAGTGAAGCGGTATTTCAGGAAGCGCTCTCAGTAGAAGGTATATCTATCAACGGATAAGTTTTGAATAACTTACGTTTTGCAAACGGTACAGTAATAATTACGGTTAACAACAATGATTTACAGAACGTAATGCAACGCCTTAATGAACGCTGTCATGAGTACGGACTGAAGATAAATTTAAAGAAAACTAAATGCATGATCATGACTAAATCTGCACATGCTAATATCCAATTGACTATGGAAGATACTGCAATTGAAAGTGTTAATAACTATAAGTACTTAGGAACATGGATAACATCAGATGTAGACCAAACCAAAGAAATTGAGACACGTATTGAAATAGCACGTACATCATTTATTAAACTTAAAAGTTCATCTGAATAAGTTGGCCGCCTTTGAATTTTGGTGTTACAGAAGAATCCTACGAATATCATGGATTCAAAGAATGTCAAACATGGAAGTAACTAAAAGAATAGGAAATGAGGCGGAAATAATATTAACTATTAAGACGAAAACTTGAGTACTTGGGACATGTGATGAGAGGACAAAAATACGCATTATTGCAACTTATTATGCAGGGCAAAATCCGAGGAAAGCGAAATGTGGGAAGACGAAGAATATCCTGGCTTAAGAACTTAAGGGAATGGTTTGAATGCAGTAGTGCAGAACTTTTTAGAGCGGCAGTCAACAGAGTCCGCATAGCCATGATGATTTCCAACCTTCGATAGAAGATGGAACTTAAAGAAGAAGAAGTTTTTTAAATGTTAAGGTTCAATATTATTGCTTATTTTTATTAACAAAATATCTGTTCCTTTTATTGCCAGTACTGTGGCAATATTAAGGGTATACGTTCCAAATATTGCCAGTTGGCAATTATTTAAAAAAAAAGAAGAATATACATTTTTTGATTGTATTTTATAATTGTTTAGAAATTCTTCTTCTTCTTTAAGTTCCATCTTCTATCGAAGGTTGGAAATTATCATGGCTATGCGGACTCTGTTGACTGCCGCTCTAAAAAGTTCTTCTTCTAGCACTTCTACACGTCTCATCACTGTATTAGCAGAAAGTTGCATAGATTTTATAGCTGAAACTATCTTGTCTTTATTTCTAAAGTTGGCAAATAACGAATCAGCTGCTTCTAAAAACGCCTGTTTTATCGTTTCCCCGTATTCATAAGGTTTCTTTTTTTGTGCAATTATCTGGGACGCATCTACTAACTCAAACGCTGGACGTTGGTTACGCGTTCAGTTTTAAACTAAGCGCAATGTCGCCACGCCGTGCGTATTTATCCCATTCAAAGCAATCCAGATCGTTCTCGAACACTAACGCGCTGGTTCGGCTGGTCGGTTCTATAAATCTAGCTTGACGGCGCGGCGTCAGGGGCAGATCGCTCACCGCAACGTTACCTCTGTTTATGTTTAATATTATGACAATTACATTTTTTTGTGGAATTTTCGGAAGCTTCTCTGATTTTTGTAGTTTGTATTTTCTAAATTAAAATCGTTGTGAGAGCTACCAGAATTTCCCCCGCGAGCTACCGGTAGCTCGCGATCGACATGTTGGCGATCACTGATTTAGACGATGTGCTGGTACAACAAAAGCAGGTATTATTTTGTCCATATCGCTGTGTGAAAACAATTTTGCATAATATTTGATCATTATAATACAAAAAAACACTAAGATTAACACCAACAAGAAAAATGACAAAGTAAAAGTAAAAGTAACAAAATGTTTATAATATAAGCCCTAAATCAATCACTTGTAATTACTATTAACCAAAGATCTGCAATAAGTACTACATCAAATATTTTTCTGTATGACAATTATAAAGGTCTGAAAACTTACCAAATATTCGCTAATTTGATTATTGACGTTCTTTATGGCAAGTGCCAATACGTGCGCCTGAGCTTTTAAAACAGCCACAACTTTTTCTTGAACATTTTCCATGTGGACCGTCTAAAGCAAACAATCAAGTCAATTATTTTAGGCACTTAATAAATTGATGTATAACAAAGTAGTTATACATCATGAAGAATATAAGTAAACATTAGAAATAATAGAATTAAAAGCTGTACGTTTAAGAATTTTGTGGTTAGAGTAAAATATTAGATGTGTACTTAATACAGTGTGGGTACCAACTACTAATAAGAATTCATATTTTTAAATAAAGGTAAAAACTCGAACACCCAATGTACTTAAAACGAACAATTGGTGGAGTAAAACAACTGATTTGATATATTATTCTGTAGGTACACATTTTGAAGGCTTTTAGTCTTCCTAAACGTTCGTTCATGTAAAAGCCTCTAATGTAAGTCTTATTTTAAAAGCAGGAGAAAGGCAAGGAAACTGGGGTACTTATGGTTTAACTTGGGATTTAAAACAAATCTGTACCTTCCAAGGTCTTGAAATAAGGCAAATTTGATATTTACTTATTTTTCACAGATTTATTTCGTATTTCTCTTGACATCTAGGATAGTATCTTATAGCAAATATCTACATAGCCTCTATATAGCAAGTGTAGGGAAAGAGTGGGCAACGTGACCACGCTAACGAATATTTTTTTATCTTGAGGAAAATAAAAAGAAAAAAAATACACTATATATATATTATCATACGATATCCTATATACTTAGCTACATAAGGCAATTTCAAGTCCCCGCAAAAAAGGCAATCAGTATCTCTCACGTAACTGTTCGAGTTTTTAAATAAAGCACGCTTCGCTGATTTTGATTTTGTTTTCTACTTTTCTTTAAATTTTTCTTTGCTTCATTTATTCCTCTTGTTACTCTGCTTTATTTTTTTCAGTACCAGCTTTATTTTCTTAAGCCTTTCCTTTTCTTCTTTTTCTGCTTTTGCGGCTACTAGTTCCATCTTGGGACTAGTAGCTTGAGGCCAAAGGGCTTGAGGTCAAAGCTGCAGCTGTTCCTTTTTTTCGCTTATTTTCTTGTGTGATAATATTTGCTTTAGGGATTGGAATAATATCCTGTGGGCTACAGCAAAAGTATAGTGCCCCTTGCCCTTGGAGTTGCTGATTAAATCTCATGAAGTACCGAAATAAGGCAGTGGACTGGGCTGGAGTGTTGAATTACTTGGCTTTGGCGAGTCTTTAGATATTAGAACGAATATTGAGTTTGGATCTCCAGATCCTACAGTGACATTTTGTCTGTGGTCATTGAAAAACATAGGAACTAAAGTGTTGGATGCAGAGGTTGCTGGTCGGAAATCTATCTCTCCAGAAGGCGGGTTCTATTTACTTGCAAGTAGTGTCTCTTGACGTCAAGGAATATTTTGTTGCGAATCTACCAAATCTTTTCCTGGCACTACAGCAAAAGTTTCCTCTTGGTATTTAATATTCAGTTCTTGATTGTCAGCTTCTTGAAGAAAGATAGCATCTTGCACGGAAACTTCTGTGGTCATTGCTGTAGCAAAATCCGCGTCAGAAAACTTTTGTCTTTTTATAGGAACTATGCGACATTTTCCAAACCCCTTCACTGCAATAGTTTGAGTGGCTGCAAATGGAAATGCTTTTCCAAGAAGTTTAGACACCTGATACTATGTCACTAATCTACCAGAATTATTACGCAAGCAGCTTTCGATCTCTTGGACATAATAAGTATTGAAGGGCCCCATGAAAGAAACATCGAGTGGCTGCAGCTCCAGTTGTGTTATTTTCTCTAGCCCTTTCAAAGAAATCTAGATTTTTTGTATGGGTGGAATGTCCATCAAGTATGAGAAAAACTGAGTCGTCTTCGAATGGTCTCGCAAACTTCAAGAAATGATCAAACCATTATGTAAAAATCTCAGTTTCCATCCACCCTGAAGGATGACAAACAAAAGCTGTTCCAGGTGGAGCGCCGTCTTGAAGTTCTACTTTCATCCGCTGTCTACAGAAGATGATAAAAGGAGGAATAACCCCCCCCCAGCTAACATAGAAATTACAAATGTGCTATGAGGAGGACGAAGTGATGGTTTTGAACATCCTCCAAAATGTCAAAAAATTTGGTTACATTCGTATTGTTAAATGCTTGCGCCCTTACTGCTGAAGTCGCCGCAGGTTTTCTTAACACAAGCTCAGGATGGCGCTTTCCGAACCTCGTTACCCAATCTTTTCCTGCTAATTTCATTTCTTTATTGAAACCATGGGGGATGTTATTCCGTTCATCCAGTTGGTATGCAAGGCTGCGCAATCAGATGCAGTAATTCCAAAAAAACGTACCTTCATTTTTAAGAGATAATTTACTAACTGTTATTCTTGTTCTTTGTTGAAAACAGCTCGAAAATGGCCTAATACTTTTTTATTGTCAGTGGATTTCATCCCGCCTTTCTTCACGGCATCTATTGCTCTTTGCATCGCTGATTGGGGTGCCATGACTGCTGATGACTCTTCCTGTGATATTTTGACACCATCGCTACACCTGAAAAAAAAAAACGTTTTTAGTATTACATGCTAAATAGCATTAAAATATGAAAGTAACAAGGCGTTTTCACCTTTGCCATACTACTACCTGCTAAACGAATAGAGCAAGGCGTAACATAGATACATCGTTTTGTAGCCTAAATACACCTCTTTTAAGACGTTACTATCATTTGCCTGTATTATGAAGAAAACTTGGTTGTAATAATTAATTAAATACACTTACCTTATATCATAATGTTGAAAAACACGAAAATTTTCAATAACTTTTAAACAAATGATCAGAACAGCTTACACCTTTAACACATCACGATGACGTTCAAATAAAAGACTTGACGGGCCCGTCGCTGTGTATCAACACCGTACTGTGCAGTAAGAAACAGTGACCACTATGCCCGCAGTGGCCACTATGTCCACCCTTCCTCTACCTTAATAATTTTCATATGACAATCTATCCCCCATTTTGTATATAACGCCTGATAAAGAATTGGTCCAGTCTTTGGTCAAATTTTCCTTTTCCTATATCTTCTTAATAATGTTATTAATTATATTATACACCATTTATCTCCATTTTTCCGAATCACTGTCCCTATTTCAATTTGTCTCGGTATTTTGTTACTTTAAGAACCTTAAGAACTCGGTATTTTGCTTAGGGTAAAATCCATATTTTTAAATTAGTTAATTGGTTATAGATTAAATATGAGTGGTATGTTATATGAATGGAAATAAAAATTATTAACATTAAATAATACCTTCAAAACATGGTAATTAAAACAATGGAAGAATTATCGAACGTAGTATTGAAGTTCGGTTCGGTTCGTAGTGCCCCTTTGTCCGTTTCTCGTCGATCGATGCTGATAGGTATAATAAAAGGTTGAAGTTGCGGAGTAAAAGTGATGATTTATTGACAGCAACTCGTAATTACACAATATGGTGTTCGTTCGGTAACTACTCAATATTGACTGTGTTCATTTGAACTCAAATCCCCAATTTATAATCTCACACATAAAAGATACATAAGCACCTTAGGTCATTGCTTCGTTCATATCACACCACCTAACTTTTGCTTATATTACAATTTAATCTACGCCTTAATTGCGACACTTAGGAAGTTCAATTAGAAAATATTATTATTCGGCAATTTATTTAGTTGTAGGTAAATGAACTAATTATTAAATTATCATACGATATGGTTTTACAATATATTGTTATAGTTTTGTTTTTATTATTTTTATGTTTTATTGTTAATAAATATAATTTTAATTGAATTGAAGTGAATTTTAAAAGTATGTAGTTCGTTGTTAATATACTATACCTCGGCTAGCTCAATTATTTGTTCTAAGCAATCTGTCACTGTGTGACGTCAACTCTGTAGTCTCCTGGTAGAGTTCAAAAAGAAATTAAACCAAAATTTACTTTATATTTTTGATAAATTAACCCAAATGAAGCACGTTATTTATTAATATTGAACAAATTTAATATAAACAATAAAATTCGTCTGCAACTTGGGTAGCCTTTAAAAATTTACAAAAATAGGAATCGTGTAAACCTTAATGTGTCGTGAAATAGAATTTGATTACAAAATGTGGAAACTCTCTACAATTACCTTAAATCTAAATGACTATTGCAACTTTATAAAGTGTTTAAATGAAATATAAAGAAAAGAAAACTGAACACTTTATGCCGCTGACTTATAACTAGCATTAAAATATAATCAAAATTTCAAATGATCCCCAAAATTATTATCCAAACTCACTTTCAAACAGTTCTGATTTTTTTTTTAAAGAAAACTAACTACTCGCAAAATAATCGGTGATACTGGAATATCTATCCTCTCTTCGGAAGTTAAAGGTACGTACTATTATATTTTTATTTTAATGATCATTAATATTTCAATTTTTAAGGCCTATCGCAATTAGTTAATTCATGAATTTTTACTTTTTCAATCTAAATGACATTTCTGCACTCCAATTATAATTTATAAGTCAAAATTTCTCTTACTCTCTGGAACAAATTCTGGATATCTCTATTTGAAAATGTGGAAAAACTAAATTATAATTAAACGATTTTAAAGCACTCCCGGACTATTCCACCTTTTTAGGGCTCTTCCTCCAAAATTTTCGTCGCCTCCAACAACCTATTCTTCCTTGTTAACCGCCATAGCTAGCACCAACCACCAAAATTATTCGTTGCTAACAGCAACCCCCTTTCTTTTTTCATTCCGTCTTCTATTTTATTCAACCATAAAACTGTCCTGTTTTGACATATTTGTCAAACCACATTAATTTCTCATAAGCACTTTAATCACATCTAATTTGGGAATTTATAAAAAAAAAATTCAGATATAAAACTTAACAATACTAATATAATTTATTCTTTTCATCTCCACATCATTGTAATTTATTTAACAAAACCCCTATTAATTTAGTTCCCACAGACTTTTGACAGTTTATTTTTCTGACGTTTATTTTTGAAATTTCTATGTTTAAATAATTTTTTAAGAATTCTTCTTTTTTATTCCTTTTAAGGTTTAGACGATTCA